CATCTAAAATACCTAGGATGGTTTCATGGAGCTTGGGGATGCCACAGTTAACTGCTCACCCCTGTGGGGTGATGCTGCGCTGTCATACAGGGTGGTTGTGAAGCAGATTGGACTCCTTGTCCCCTGACAATGACAATGACAACAACAACAACAAAATGGTTCTGTTTCCTTATTGGAACCCAACCTACACGGGCGGGAAGGAGAGGAAATACTTTCAATGTTGTTTGTCATTAGACAAATATATGTATATAATATGTATATATATATATATATATATATATATATATATATATATAAATTCCAGGGTAAACTAGTGATTGTAAATTATTTTCTACCATAAAAAAAAGAATTCTGCATGTACGCAAGTACAGATAGGAGCTGGAAACACAGGGAATCCAGGACAGATCAATCCTTCCGGACCAATACTGAGAGTAGCCAGACTAGGAAGAGAAGAGGAAGCTGGGGGAGAAAGGGGAACCGATCACAATGATCTACTTATAACCCCCTTCCGGAGGGGATGGACAACAGAAAAGTGGGTGAAGGGAAAGATCAGTCAGTGTAAAACATGAAAAAATAATAATGATGTATAAATTATCACGGGTTCATGAGGGAGGGAGGGCAAAGGAGGGAGAGGAAAAATGAGAAGCTGATACCAAGGGCTCAAGTAGAAAGAAAATGTTTTCAAAATGATGATGGCAACAAATGTACAAATGGGCTTGACACAATGGATGGACAGATGGGTGGATTGTGATAAGAGTTGTACGAGCCCCCAATAAAATGATTTAAAAAATAAAATAAAATGTAAAAATTCAAAAAAATAATAATTATGAGTCTGAGTAAGCTTCACATTTTTAGAGTTATCACAGAGTAATAAGAGAAATTTTATTTCAACCCAAAACATTATTCAACAGACGAATGTAGACCATATGTCACCATGTCCTCATGGGAACTAGTTTGTTTGTTTGTTGCTTAAATCTGCCCTTCATTATCAAGACACCATCAATTCTTAGAGAGCAGGGATTCTTTCCTGAGTTGTTTTGTAAAGTGCCAGTTTTCTAGCACAATATCTAAGACAAAACTAGAGACTCAAAAAGATACTGTGTGGGACTAGGTTGAGGTGGTATTTGCACATTATTATGAATACATTCAATGCTACAAACTCTATCCTTTAACATGGTTAATTTTATGTTATGTGAATTTTACCTCACTAAATAAAACAAAGCAGGCAAATCTCTCTCTTAAGCCCTCTCTCCTATGACTTTGCTACACGCAGATGCCCAGCACTCCCCGTCCGGCAGAGAATGACCTCTGTCTTCTTCGGCGAGTGACGGGACTGCGTGTGTCTGGTATTCAGTGGGCTTGGGGGAGGCTCGATTATTTAGAGGACGATGAAGGCCCAGAGGCAGTGTTGGGACCTGGGTGTAATCTGTCCTCCAAGGAGAACTAGTCCTCCCACTAAGGGGGCTCTCAGCATCCAGGTGGTGCCTTTGTGCCCCATGGCATTGCTTGGCCTCCCAGGATAGAACCACCCAAGTCAGCATGGTTCCTGTTCCATGCTAAACTTCCTCTCCCCTCGGCACCCCTGCTACCCCTACAGAAGCGAGACTTCCTAAGCCCTCTGCCATCAACTCAGAGCCGTGGGTGTGCCTGGGCTCGCCTCCCAGCCCCCTGTCTTGTTCTAGCTTCGGATGGACCCAGCTGCTGTGGAGTCTGTTACAACTCATGACAACCACTGTGAGCAGGAAGAGAAGTGCGCTCCACAGGGTGTTTGACGATTTGGAAATAACTTACTAGGCTTTCTTCCAAGGTACCTCTAGGTGGGCTTGAACCTTCAACTTTGTATTTAGCAGTGGAACATGTCAACCATATGTAGTTTGTCATCTACTGCCGGAGACTCTTGCTTCCTATATTTATTAGACACCAAACAAATGACCGTTAAAGGAGAGAAAGAAGTTGAGGGGGTATTTTATATGAAAATATAAACTCCTTACTATAATTAGTCCTCTAAACAGGATCTATATTCTAACAGGAAATTATATCTTGGCCCAAAAATTGATTTCAAAAAGTGGCTTTTCAGAAATCTACAATATGAAGCAATGGGGGAGGGGGAGAAGATAAGGGACTTGGTTAAAAACCAACGAACTGATTCCCTTCCATTGAGTGAGTCCCAGCTCACGGCGACCATATTGAACAGGGCAGAACTGCTCTTCTGGGTCTCTGAGACTGTTGCTCTTCCCAGGAGTAGAAAGCTCATCCTTCTCCCAAGTAGCACCTGGTGGTTACTGCCAGAGAAAAAGATTCCTATTTCCTAGTTTATAAACATTTACAGGTGCTTATAAACTTTTATGTAAGAAAGCATTTTAGCATCATTATACAACCCAAGAGGAGTAAAATTTTAGAGGGCACACAACAGTTTTTGTGAACCTAGGTCTTCTCGGGATAACTCCCATGCCCCACGTCTCCCTCCCCACTGCTCCCATAAGCACTGAGCAGCAGAGACAGAAAGTTGTGGGAGAAGAGAAAGCACAACCGCGATGGCCTCAAGAGTCCAAATGCAGAGCTTCCTGGAGCACACGTTCCTGCAAGTGCACACATTTCCCACTAGGAAATACTCGGCTTGGTCTTCGGCAGCCTGAGGTAGCGGCCGGTGTCCTGGAATGGAACAGTGAGACCCACGCAGCCAAGAGCGGAGGCTCCTGTCCAGAACTGTCTGTTCTGGGGGGGAGCAGTGGGAAGAGGGAAATGATAAAAGCAGGTAGACGTTTGTTCTCTATAAATAGCCTGAAACTTGAGAGGCCCCCAAGGGAGAGGAGAGAGAGAGGTCCTGAGCGTTTCCTTCACGCCTTAGTCAAGCCGACCTGGAATTCCATGGGAAAATTCAATGGTCATTTTTGCCCGGGGCTATATCTTTTCTGTTATGGACTATATCAGACAATAGTGGTTTCCAAAGCTGTGATCTTCAATGACTCTCTCCTGTGTCCTCTACGCCCTCCCAGGAATAAGGAGAGATGGGCCACATGGAGAATCTCCTACGGTGGCATATTGAAGGTGGTGACTGGCTGCATCTTAACCGCTTACGTGGTCATCTGTCTCGATGAAGGCATGGTGCTGATGAACAAACAGGTGCCACCCAGGTTCATGTACCCCAAGGAGTGGCAGCACCTCACCATGTTCATCCTCCTCACCCTTATTGGCTGTGTAGACATCGTGAGCAAGAACCTGCTGCCCCAGCGGAGTGTGGTCCTGGAGCTGGGTGTCCAGATGCTGGCCTTCCACGTGCTCCTCCTGCTGCTGCTGTCTCACAGCCAGAACTCTGCAGGGGTGGAGCTGCAGGTCCACGCCCTGCTCGTCCTGGTGGTCTTCCTGCTGGTGCTGGTGTTGACGGCAGAGCTGTGGGCTCCCGACACGGTTCGCCTCTGGCTGATGGAGACCTTTCTGTTTCTGATGATGGGCTCCTGGCTGATGCAGGCAGGCTTTATTCTATACAAACCGGTCACTGGGTATCCGTGGCAGGATGATGACACGAGTGACATCCTATTTGTCACCACCTTCTTCTGCTGGCATGTGATGGTCAACGCCTCATGCCTTTTAGGGATCTACGGCTTCTCCGCATTGTGGTATCATTGTCGCGGTCCTAACTTGAAGCGGATAGGGGCCAGAGAGGCTCCACATCACACCAGTCCTCCGGGAGCCCAGTACAAGTTACAGCAGGAAGTGGATCCACCACAGAAGGATAGGCAGGCGCTCCTCCTCAAAGCGAGTTCACCCTGAGAGAAGGCGGAGAATACCTGTCACCGCGTCTACCTTCATGCTTCTCTTTGTGGGTTCTATCAGTCATGGGAATTGTACCCCCCATAGTCCCCCATGAAGGCAATGGTCTTGAAGGAGAGCAATTGGCCCCATCTCTTGTCCCTACAGGGGGCATATCTGTCACTGAGGAGATGGGGAGGGAGGGAGGGACCCAGGAAAGGGGTGCTGATGGGAGTCTGTGAAGAAGAAAAAGGTGAGACAAGAGCAAAGGGCCCAGAGAAGTAGGAAAGTAGGTAAAAAATAGCCCCGATGGAAATAGAAGGGGGAAAAGGGTGGGGTGGGAGTGGGGGTGCTTTAACGGCAGAAAAACAGCCTCTAATAGCCTTGCTGTCACCAGCTGATTCTCCAAGCTCTTACCAAGGAATAAAGAGTTCTCGCCAATCAAAACCACAATAGCTATTATTTCTATTTGGCAATGACAGTACCACCATCTGGTAACAACTTAAGTGTATATAGCAATTAGCTTGGGACAACTGGTTGAGATTTTCTTAATATTTAAAATTTTGGGGTATATTCATATCATTTAAAATTATGCGTATAAAATGAGAATCAAATACTTTTCTATCAGTCTTTCAGTTTTTAAATTTTTCATTAAATGCCACCACATTTCTTATTCCTGGCCTCTAATCAACCAAAGCAAGGTAGTCAGCCACTTGTTCAGTTGCCACCAATCCCACCAGCAATTTACGAACGTACTATGTCCTGCATCGGAGGCTGGGACGGGGGCTGGGAGCTAAGTACTAGGAGCACCAGAAAGAAGAGAATGTTCTACACTTGATTGTGGCAATGATGCTGCACCTCCCCTTGATGCGGCGACTGAACTGTGGAATGGTATGATTTCTGAATGGCACGCCAGTAAAACTGTTTTGTTTTGCTTTCAAGCCATCACTAGTCACCTTTTTACTGCACTGTGCTAGTTTCGTCACTGGTGGCTGTCAAGTTTTCTGCAGCTCCCAGTGACCTCCCGTGTAACAGAACAACATTTCTTGAGCTTCTGCATCCTGGTCACGAATGCTGGTCTCCTTGAGTGTATTATCTTCCAACCCATACATCCTTTTGTAGCCATACCATACCATTTCCATTGGCTAATTTTGAACATAGATCACTAGGCCTTTCTCCCTAGTTCATATCCCCTGAAAGCTCTGCTGAAACCTGTCCACCATGATGACCCTGTGGTGTAATACTGGTGGCATACCTTCCAGCATTACAGCTACAGGTAAACCACCACCGGATAGCACATTGACAGGTGGCTGGCAGAGTGCTTTTTATGCCCAGCACTCAATCCCTTTGTACCACTAATGCCTAGCTGTCCTTGTCACCACCCCCCACTCCCTACCCACCACCACCACCAAGTCCACATTCAATTCTTTGACCTGGAGATCTTTAACAACTTATCTAAACCAGCTTCATTATTTGACCCATGGGTTGATATCATGCCCCCTGCCTCATGCTAAGATTGTTGTCCTTTGAAGGTTTTGCAGGAGAAAGATGAGGCATCTCCTCCCATCAACAGTTAGTCTCCCAAACCCACAGGGACAGCTCTCCCCTGTCCTATGGGGTCAGTAGGGAATCCATGGAAATGAGTCTGGGGCTTGGGTTTGAAGAGTTTTTGATTCATCAGCTAAAGCATATGCTCCTTAAAATAAAATAAAAATAAGTAAAGCAAATGTTCCTAAGGGCAGGGAATGTGACACCTCCTAGTTCTGATTTCTTTTGCATGTTCCAGAAGCATATGACATTGTGAAGTCATTAGTGAAGTCTTACTCTTTCCCTATACTGTGAACGTAGAGTCTGACTGCTCTGTGAGTCCGCAGGGAGACGGCGATGGTACTGCAGCCTGAATCCTCTCTTACACAGCAGGCCCACCCTCTTTCTGGTCTATGTGTGCAACGACTGCCCCTGCCCTGCTTGGAATGGCTTATTCTAGATCATTTCATACTCTGCCTCCAGGAGTCATGCGCTCCGCTTTCTCGAAGTCTCCTTTTCCATCTGAACAAACAATGGCCCCTGCAGGCTAACCCACACAACTGTCAGAGTTAGGGCAGGGACTGAAGCGGGTTGATCTGAAGGTCAGGTCCCTTGGGAGGTACAGACAGTTTGCACTTGATTATTAACCTAGAGGGTAGGGCCTCCGCCTCGCTCCATGGAGCAGTGAAGAAAGGCCTGGAAACCTGCTTCACAAACCAGAAAACAAAGTCTTGCCACTGAGTTGATAACGACTCGTAGCGACCCTATAGGACAGGGTAGAACTGTCCCCTGGGAGTTTCCGGGACTGTATCCTTTAGGGGAGCAGGCAAAATGGGGAAGAAAACAAACTCACTGCCAATGGGGCCATTCCGACTCACAGTGGCCCTCCAGGGCGGGGTAGAACGGCGCCCACGGGTTCTCTTTATGGGGCTGCAACTCTTTGTGGAACCAGAAAGCCCCTGTCTGTCAACCACTGGTGGTTCCCCACGGAGCGGGGGGGTTGGTTTACAAACTGCTGGCCTCTGGTTAGCAGCCCCCGCGCCACCACCCCGCCACCAGGGCTCCCTGTAAGGCTCGCAGATTTTCCGAAGAAGGAGAACAGCCCTGGAGCTCAGTTCTGCGACACATGAGGTCATGGTGAGTCTGAACTGACTTTACTGCAATGGGGTACTGGGTTTTGTCTAAAAGACAACGTTCTGCTTGCATCCCCCGGGACCCTGGTCATGTCTGCAGAGAACCGAGATGTGACTGATGCAGAAGCAAAGCAGGGAAAAGCAGGGAACAAGGAGACCCAGTGCACGTGAGTCCCACCGGGTGATAGGACCTTCCTGAGGAGCCTCAGACGTTCTGTCTCTGTCGCTGGCCCGGTTTCCCCAGCCCCACCCGCACCCCCCACACTTCTGGCCAGGGCCCGTGTTTCTTTTTTCTTTTTTAATCATTTTATTGGAAGCTCATACAACTCTTATCACAATCCATACATATATCAATTGTGTAAAGCACATTTGTACATTCATTGCCATCATCATTCTCAAAACATTTGCTCTCCACCTAAGTCCTTGGCATCAGCTCCTCATTTTTCCCCTCCCTCCCCGCTCCCCCCAGGGCCCATGTTTCTAAGCGCAGGTCAAAGCAGAGGCTGGCACAAGATTTTTCTTTGATTATGTGTTCTCAATTTTCCT